TGGGATCTCAGGCTTCCTGCTTCCCTCCCTACTGTCTCCCTCCATACATCCAGGGCCTTCTGCCTAAGTTAATTGTCCTAGGAATCATGAGGAAGACCAAGAAAAAATCAGAAATGGCCTTAAGGTGTTAAAAACTTTACAGAAAATTATGGTTCTCTACGCATTGCTGTTGCTCAGTGCTGCCGAGTTAGTTCTGACCCACAGTGACCCTGTATAGGGTTCCTAAGGAACAGCTGGTGGGTTTGAATTGCGGTTCAAGCTGACCTTGCAGTCTAGTGCTTATCTTATAGTGCCATGCCAGGCGTTAAGTGCTATGAAAGAAACACAGTGCCGTTGAGTGGGTTCCGACTTATAGAGACCCTGCACAGGGTTTCCGAGGAGTGGCTGGTAGGTTTGAAAGGCCAACCTTGCGGTTAGCAGTCCAGTGCTTATCCTACAGTGCCACACCAGGACTCAACTATGAGCAATGGGTGGTGGTGGTAGTGGTGGTTGTGTGGCACCAACTCTATCCCGAGGATATAAATCTTTATAGGAGCTTAAAAGCCACATCTTCCTCCTGAGGAGTGACTTGAAGATTTAACTACCGACCTTACAGTTAGCAGCCCAACTCGTAATCCGCCACACTAACCCAGGCATTTATTGTTGTTGTTAAGTGCATGCCGACTCATAGTGACCCTGTATAGAGTTTCCAAGGAGCAGCTGGTGGTTCGCAGTCTAGTGCTTATCATACAGCACCACGGAGCATTAGGGGGAAGAAAAAAATCCCTTCCTGTTAAATGCTATGGAGATTATGGTGAAGAAGGGCATCCCAGTGGAAGGGCCAACAGCCAAGGCACCGAAAGGAAAAGCCTGCAGCACACAGGAAGGAAACACTGCTAGACAGAGGAAGGAGCATGAGTGTAAACCAATACCATTTCACCTGGGACCCCTATGTCCTCAAATTCCCTGTAGGAATAAAGTCTTCCTAGGGTTCCCCCTCGATATTCAGCTAGAGTGCTTAAATTATCCTCAATTAATTCTCACCTGGATTCTTGAAATAGTGCCCTGCTTCTACTCTGCTCCCACAGCGGCAACCCGTTCCTTCTCCCCACTGATGTGGGAGTGATCCAACATGGAAAGCTTACCACACGAATTCCCCACTTAAAATGCTTCAGGGGTTTCCTAGCGCTTGTTCTTGTTGCTGTCAAGTTGATTCTGTCTCATGGTGACCCTTTTATGACAGAACTGCTTCACAGGGCTTATTGTTGTTGTTGTTGTTAAGTGCCGTCAAGTCAGTTCTGACTCATAGCGTCCCTGTATAAGGTTTCCAAGGAGCAGTTGGTATGTTTGAACTGCCAATCTTGCAGTTACTAGTCTAGTGCTTATCTTACAGTGCCACATCAGAACTCCCAACAGGGTTTGCTGTTGTTGTGTGCCGTGGAGTCGGTTCTGACCCATAGCGACCCTGTACAGGGTTTCCGAGGCTGTAAATCTTTATAGGAGCAGAAAGCCTCATCTTTCTCCCGCGGAACAGCTGGTAATTTCAAACTGCTGACCTTGCGGTTCATAGGCCGATTCGTAACCACTACGCTCCCAGAGCTCCTTTACAGGGTTTGTAGCACTGCTGAAATCCTTATAGGAGTGAGTGTGGATTGAATTGTGTCCTCCAAAACTACGGGTAACTTGCTGGGCCATGATCCTCAGTAGTTTGCAGTTATGCAAGGTGTGATCTGATGGGATCAGTCAATCAGCTGGAAGGGGCCCTGGGTGGGAGGTCACACCCTTACTCAACTCACAGCCCTGATCTGATCTAACGGGAGTTCCCCTACGTTGCGGCCTTGCTATGTGTTGTCACGTGGATTCCAACTCACAACGAGCCTGTAAAGGGTTTTCGAGGAGCAGCTGGTGGGTTTGAACTGCCAACCTTGTAGTCTTCAGTCTAGTGCTTATGCTATAGAACTACAGTACCCTTTATCACACATGGAGATCTCCTAGGGAGAGCAGGTAGACAGGTGTTGAGAGGGTCTAGGGCCTCCCCTCAGAGCCAGCAAGGCTTCCTCTAGAGCTGCCGTGCTGAAGTCTAACTTCCAGCCTCCTAAACGCTGAGAGAATATATGTGTTTGTCAAAATTACCCATCTGTGGTATTTCTGTTAAGAGTTGTTGTTGTTGTTAAGTGCCACTGGGCCGGTTCTGTTTCATGTCCAGCACTAGATACCGAGGGCAGGAGCAGATCACAGGTCTGTTTTCCATGTAGCAGCTGTTGAGTCCAAACCACTGACCTTTGGCTAGTAGCACTTAACCATTGTGCCACCAGGAATCCTTTAGCTTTTCTATTAACTGCAAATAAAACTAACACTTTATATACAAGAACCGGGCTACCTTCCCTGCCTCTCCCTCCTGAGCCTCCTTCACTCGCACTACAGTGAACTCCTAAAGTTCCTTCAGTCCCCAACTTTCTTGACCCTCTGCTGCTTTGAATTCAGCGTTCCTTCTAGATGGACCCTCACTTGACTAGTTAGTACCCTCCCTTCCCTTTCAAACTGTGGGTATCATTTAACAGTCCTGGAAGTACTGGGCAACAGAATTAGGCACAAGATAAAACTAAAATGCACCAATTTACCAGGACATGTGTGTGAAGGACCGATGCAGAGAAATTCAAAAGTGCATGGTTACTTGCAGATAGCAATACCCAATGCAGTGCACACTGTCCAAGGGTGTGGATCTCTCTCTGTCTTGTTCACTGATACATTCTGAGTACTCTAGAATACAGCGGGTACTCAACCAATACTCGATGACTGAATAAATGCCCAAACCAATCTAACCATTCAGTGTGCTCCTAACCAAAATACAAACAGGATTATCTGGGGAAACCTGACAAAGACATCAACAGTGAATTGAAAAAACACACTCAAGAAAGATCGTTGCTTATCTAATTGAGGAGCAAAGATGAAACTACGCATTCAGAGCTATTGAAAGCATGAAGAACCAGAGCATCTTGGATATCATTTGTGAGGTTATAAATTAGTATTCTGAAAAGGCAACTTGCTAACATCTACGAGGGGACTTCAAAAAGTTTGTGTAAAAACTCCATTGTCTTTCAGTTCCACTTTCCCATGAGCTTCCTGAAGCCTCCCCATCTCTCCACTAATTAAGCAATTCCACAGGTCTGACTTAATTCTCACACGTATATGCACGAGCATATCTGAAGGCTATCCCTTGTAGTACTATTTCACAAGAGAAAACAAAAGGATGCTCCATGTCTCTCTGTAACAATCTGCGATGTAAGTAAGGCACATTCACACATTGGGATATTATACAGATCTCCTGAAAACTGAAGAAGAACACGTGATGACATGGAACTGAGTCCAAGACGTCATGCTCAACCTAAGACGTCAAGTACACAGCACAAAGATCATAAGGTCGGTTGAACTGCGAGGTCGGAGGTTCAAACTCCCCAGCTGCTCCTTGGAAACCCTATGCAGAGTCGCTGTAAGTCCAATCGGCATGGTGGCACTGAAACAGCAACACTATACAACCAGAAGCACTCTAGAAGGGTATCTTTGGGTCATAGACTCAAGGAAGGGGAAGAGGAAAAAGAAAAGTTTACCTTGAGAAGAGGAGGAAGGTCTCGTTGTTGTTTTCTTTGTTTTCACCATAAGCATATGCTTACTTGCTCTCAGGCACCCCCAGTTCAGAGCAATACCCCTCCCCCTACTCACACGGCACTCTGTCTACCAGGCTATTACAGCATCTCTCCTACAATTGTGGCGTTGCCTGGTGGCTCCCCACATTAGTGGTGAGCTCCTTTTGCAGACAGGGACTGTTTTCTTTCCCTGTATTACCAGTACCTAGCAGGGCACCTGGCCTTAGTGTTTAATAGCAGTTGGATGAAGGAAAGAAGGAAGAGAGGGAAGGAGGGTAAAGGGTGGAGGGTCACTGCCTGACTTCAAGCAGAGTTGCAGAGAGCAGTCCAGTAAGAAGATCAGCCAGGTGGCAATGTAGCACACCCATCAGAGAGGGAAAGTCAGCTGAAAGGAGGCCCAGCCAGGATACAGAGGCGAGTCTACTTTGCTTACATTAAAGATTTGAGGGTGATGAGCTGGGGCACCCAGGCATGGGTCAAGAGCAGCAAGGAAGCAACACCCACCAGCCCAGAGCTCCAGGCACATTCTGAGACAGAAGGTACGGCTGGAAGCCACTGCTCCCATCCCTACGGCCTTTTTTTTTTTTAAAGTTTTTATTGTGATTTTTGAGTGAAAGTTTACAGGGCAAATCACCAATTTTACATTCAACAAATCATACACCTTGTTTCATTACAATGATTATAATCCCTTCCCTGTACCATCAGTTAACAGTATTTCTCTCTAGTCATTTTCATTTTAGCTCTTTTTTTAAAACACTGAGGCATCTATAATAACTGAAACCACCAAAGGGCACATTCTGCAAGCCCGTCCTTACAGTCTTGTGACTCTTTCAAGGGTAATAGCATCTAGTCACCGCATTTCTCTGCCGCAAATACCCACGGCCTCAACCGGAGTCTTGAACATAATGACTGCAGCAATCAAGCCACAGCGGTGCTACATCACATTTGTCTCAAGGGAGTTAGGAATGCTAATAAAAATAATGATGTAAAGGACATAGTGTGGTCCTTGGCACAGAGTAAGCACTCCAAATACTAGTGTTATTAAGCTGCATACAGAACTTTGTCAAGAGTCCCAAGCACTGCCAGTGCAAAGGTCACCAGGCAATCTTTCACCCCCCACTCCCCACTACATATCTCCAGAGAAAACAGACCATCCTCCGGAGCACACTCAAACCAAACCGGAAGCTAGTGCTTCTGTATTTCTGACCTTGATTATCATTTGAGAAGGAAGTTGGCTTCCTCAGGCCATAAGTATAAGGGATACGCTCATCTCAGAAAGTGACAACTTAGAAACCTCCCAAACTGTAGGACATGTTCCTTTGTCCCATGCTGATAGTGGGATCATGCCTCACTTGGCTAACACTGGAATTCACTTACCACAGTGGGAGGGTCATTCCATTCCTCATAGGAGATGGCAGCATATGGGTAGATCCGGTCATTGATGATTTGCAGGGTGGCCAGGGCAATGGCTTTAATGGACTGGAAGTATGCTTCCCAGAACCACCGTGCCTATGAAGAAAGCAAGATTATTAAATAAGAGAGAGAAGAAGAACCTGATGCTCTTTCATATTTAACCTTCCCCAACAGAGAGGAGCTTAGGGCAAAAGCTCCCCTGCAGTTCAAGCCAACTCCATCACACGTGATATCCATCAGATGCAGTCCAAGTGGACTGTAACCAGGTGAAATCCACGCAAGACTCAATTTACGTACCAGATCATGAATGTGATGAGGAAAAGATGCCTGGGTTATTCAAGAATAAGTTTACAGCCTTGATAGTGGTTACAAGTCAGGCTGCTAATCTCACAGTTGGCAGTTAGAAACTACCAGCAGTTCTGCGGGAGAAAGATGAGGCTTTCTGCTCCTGTAAAGATTTAGAGCCTCAGAAACCCTATACAGGGTTGCTGAGTCAGAACCAACACCAAGGCACATAACCACCAACACCTCATATAATAAAGCGCACAGCTCAATGAATTTTTCCTTACGTACAGACTCATAACCTTACCCAGATAAAGATACAGCTACGTGTAACAGACATCTCAGCTTCCCTGCACTGTTCTATTCAGACCCCAGCTGACCACACAATGCTTCTCTCTCTTCCTCAGCCAACAGAGAACAACTTTCAGAGCTCACAGGAGACACCACACCTGAAGAAACAACTTTGATGTCACACACAAGGGCACAAATGAAGAGACACATACAGTCACTTCCATGTCTCAAGGGAATGCACTATCCTCCTAAAAGCAGACAACACTCTTGTCAACCAGGAAGCTCCCCTAGAGTCCAGCATCCAAGCCTTTACTGGCTTCCCCACAGGATCGTGATATTATATGGTGCCTCCCAAGGCTTGGTTGGCAGTCCCTCGTTGGCTGGTCAGCCTCCCCATTCACTAGCCTCAGGTGTTGAAACGGCTCTCAGGAACCAAGATCAAAAGTGAAATGGCTTTCTGCAATGTGCTCCCCACCCAACACAGTGCCACAACTCTAACCTGTGGCTCCTAAATCCAAATCCATACCCAGTTCCAGCCTATTCTAGAGTGTTAACATTACAAGCATATGAAAAGTTTCAGGACGTGGTCATCTTTCAAGGAGCTAAAGCACATAAAAAAAAAAAAAAAAAAATCACAAAGAAGAATATATACAAAGCAGCACATTTAAAAAAAACCATTGTTTTCACATTGATTGTGACGCATAGTGACATACACAGACTATCTACCTCCTTTTCTATCCAAATGGGTCCATCCTTTTATGTTAAGGCTTTAAGTCATATCCAATTACACCATATTTTAACACAAGTATTCCAAAGCGTTATGGTCACATTTATTCACAGTGGAAACAGCAGCCTTTGAGTCTGAGATGAACAAATAAAAGGTAACAAATCTACCTAGAATGCCAGCCAGAGGTACAACTATTGAACACAGCTTCTAATTGAAGATGTCTCACTTCATCTCACACTGCCCACTACAGTGCAATTGACTTGGAGAGAAAGTCAGTTGTCAGTAATCGTAGCTCGGGTGCTTCAGCCTGTGGTTAAGTGAACTTTCCAGGACCACTCCGCCACCTTGAAGTGTTCAGAAGGCATTATAATTTACAGTCCCTTTAGGACGGTGTTCCACTGCTAGTCATTAGCATAAAAACTATTCATAAGCTTAAAATACTTACTGATAAAGATCAAAGACCACAGCCTTCAGTATGGGTTGCACTTTAATGTACAGAAAACAAAAATCCTCACCACTGGACCCAATAACCATATAAATGAAGAAAAGATTGAAGTTGTCAATGAATTCATTTGCTCAGATCAACTATCAACACTCATGGAAGCAGAATTCAAGAAATCAAATGACATAGTCCATGGGACAAATCTGCTGCATAAGACCTTTTTTAAAGTGTTGAAAAACACAGATTTCAGTTCGAGGACTAAGGTGCACCTGACCCAAGCCATGCTATTTTCCAATAATCTCATATGTGTAAGAAAGTTGGACAGTGAATAGGGAAGACCACTGAAAACTTGATGCATTCGGGTTATGGTGTTGGAGGAGAATACTGAAAATGCCATGGGCTGCCAAAAGAACCAATAGATCTGTGTTGGAAGGAGTGCAGCCAGAGTGATCCTTGGAGGCTAGGATGGCCAGACTTCGTATCTCATACTTTGGACATATTGTCAGGAGGAACCAGTCACTGGAGAAGGATATCATGTTTGGAAAGGTGGAGGGTCAGAGAAGGAGAGGAAAACCCCCAACAAGATGGATTGGCACAGTGGCAGCAGCGATGGGCTCAAGCATAGTAATGATTGTGAGGATGGCCTGGGACTGGGCAGTATTTCGTTCTGTTGTACATCAGGTTGCTGAGTCGGTACCAACTCGATGGCAACTAACAACAGCTAGGACAGTGTCAGCTATTGCTGACTGGGAGGAGAAGTTTTTTCACCTATGTGGAAATGCATGGGGAGCACCATGGTTCTTATTCAGAGAGCAAATGGAAATAGCATCTTAGGGTTTGTTTTCTTTCTCTCTCTAAAGCATGAGCTACATGTATTTACCTGTAAGTCTGACTGAGGGGTTGATTCTTCAGCAGCTAAGCAAATTCCCTAGTGACTCTAAATTGTGGGTGCTACACAGGTGAAGAGTTGAGTCAAAATGAATTAGTGAGACCACTATTAAGATTCATGCTGTGGCACTTTAGGATAAGCAATGGACTGTGAACCACAAGGTCATAAGTTCAAATGCACTAGCTGTTCCTTGGAAACCCTATAGGGATGGCTCTGAGTCAGAACCAATGATGGCACTTAAACAAGTATAACCTCAAACAAGGAGCTCTGGTAGCATAGTGGTTACGAATCGGGCTGTGAACCTTAAGGTCAGCGGTTCGAAACTACCAGCTGCTCCGTGGAAGAAAGATGAGGCTTTCTACTCCCGTAAAGATTTACACCCTCAGAAACCCTGTACAGGGTCGCTATGGGTCAAAACTGACTCAACGGCACTTAACAACAACAACCTCAAACAAAGCATTTCACCTTTCTTGGTTAAACAGATACCACTGTAATTTTGTAAAACAGAGATTTCAAAGGTTAAGGAGAACAAAGTTCCCATGCACCTTTCCAACACTGAAAAACTCTTAGAGGGCAAGGACTAGCCAGCACACATATATGAATACATAAATTGTGTGCTTGGCGAACTGTCATAAACAAGTAAGCACTTCAAACTGACATTGCTATTTCAGCGTATATATCATTTAACTGTAATTCATTTCTTTGATGTTCAGGATGAACCCTAACCAGTGTTTAAGGCAGTGCGGCCTAACAGAAAGAGCAATGATTATCAAGCTAAGGGACTGTGTGTAATTTTAAATGACTTAACCTCTGTGGGGTTGTATTTCTTTAAATTTGTAACATACAGATCATATCACCTGTCTCACACTTTGGGGAAGATTCAATAAAATGAAGTTTATCCAACTCCTCACTCCGTACTAGTGCTCTGGAATCAGTCGGTCACCTTTAGACTTCTTCCCTTTAATCAGACCCTCCTGAATGTGACCCAGGAGGGCTTCCCGATGGTATGTTGAGGGATTTTTCTGAGTAAAGGTACAAAATAAAATGAACAATAAACCAGCCAACTATGCTTTTGTCTCAGTATTTAAGTCCTGGTGTGGCACTGGAGGATACACACTGGACTGCTGACTGGGAGGTCTGTGGTTCAAACTCACTGGCCACTTCTTGGGCAGCCTACACAGGGCTGCTACAAGTCAGAGATGATTCAAGAACACTTAACACCACATCACTACCCAAACACTTCACAATGACATGTAACCGTGGATCATACATCCTCAAACACTACTCTACTCTCTCCAACACACTAACATCCATGTCTGCGTAGGAAATACGGAGCCCACCGCACCAACGAGAAAAAGCAACCAGAGAATTTGCAGACATCACAACATTCTGGGGGGGCTCAGCTACAGCTGAGTTCACAAGGCAATCAGGTAAATGAAATGTCAAAGGAGGAAAGCCCCTCCAAGGAGAAATTACGTTAAGCACCATCATGTCAGTTTTGACTCAAAGCGACCATGTATAAGGATTCCAAGGAGTGGCTGGTGGGTTTGAACCAATGACCTTGCAGTTACCAGTCCAATGCTTATCCTACAGTGCCACATCAGGACTCCAATGAGTGATTATTCTTGAGGTTGTTAAGTGCCGTGGAGTAGGTTCCAACTCATAGCAACCATGTACAGGGTTTGAGATTTTTAATCTTTGTGGGAGTAGAAAACCTTCATCTTTCTCCTGTGTGGAGTGGTCAGTGGCCTGGAAGCACTGACCCTGTGATACGCAGT